CAGCGATGGCAGTGAAGAGCAATGGGGAGGCCATGGAGGGCACCTGTGCCCCACCACCTTCAAAGGGACAGCAGGGATGAAGAATGAAGGTAGAGCCCCAGGAAGTCAGGAATTCCCAGTGGCCTGCCCACGCTGCCTTCAAGGACTGATCAGGCTGAGCAACACCAAGCAGAGACAAACACAGTCAGGAAGACTTGGAGATCCCAGGGCTGAGTGATTCTCAGTGACCTTGCTCCTCCTCAGCGGCCCAGCATCAGAGAACCAAGTGTTCCCAAAGGGGCTGCCCCATGCTCTGGCAAAGGGGGTGAGACCCTGAAGAGTGAGTACAAGAGGGTATGGTGACAGGGAAAGAGGAACACGGGGGCCACCAGCTTTCTCTGGGCGCTGAGTAGCTGAACATGCCACACATATTCCAACCCAATGCCTCCTTACTGCTAGTTGGTCCAAGAACGATCTGTCCCTTTGGGTGGTAGCAAAGAAGTGGAATCCAAGGGGGTCCCCATCGACTAGGGAGTAGCCAAATAGGTTGTTGGTACGTGAATGTTATGGGCTGTTACAGAGCTGTAGAAAATGACATCCAGGGGGATGCTGAGAAGTATGAACTGACAGAAAGGGATGTGAGCAGAGTCAAGGAATCAATACGCCGAACAGGGCTGACCAAAGCCACAGAAGGACCCAGACAGAATCGACTGGAGAAGAACCCTTGACCAGATACTTGCAAGGGAGGGGCCCATGTGTGGAAAACACTACAGGTCATGACATCTTCCAGGAGCAGAGAGGAGGAGGCATGCAGGGGAAATGGACCCAAAGTGAAAGCAAAAGATATCAACAGAAATTTTAAAAAGGAATCAGTGCCCATCACATCATCTGCCTACCAAAATAAAAGCCAGTTCTTCCTTTGGTTTTCTTAAAGAAGTCTCCATGGGCGGCAGCATGGACGTCGGCACCATTTTCCACCAGAAGGGTCACCAGGGCCATGTTCCGTCTCTCAATAGCGATGTGAAGAGCCGTCTGGCCTGGGTCGAGGGCCACAAGGATCATGTCAGCAACTCAGAACACCCTGAGTCGGCGTCTCCATTGTGCTGAGCACTAGAGGCAGGCTCCCCTCTCAGGGAGCTTTCTGGCATGATGCCCGGCACAGTGGAGGCGCTTGCTGAGCGCTGGCCTGGTTGAGGCCGGAGCCCTGGCGCCCTCTCCTCCTGCCTCTCACCCTTGTAGTAGCTATCTGTGTAGCTGGCATTCACAAACTCCTCCAGGCTGCCCGTCTGCCTGGCAATTGCCAGGAGGAGGGGGATGGTCTCATTCTTGCCCTCCTGTAGGTTTAGCATGGCTTTGAGCAGGCAGGTCTTCCCCGTTTCTGGATCTAGGACACAAGACAAGGTCAGTGGCCCAGGCCCCCCAGGGACCCTTTCCTTCCTGGGGGGGACCGTGGGGAGTGCTACCTTTGAACTCACTGTCTGTGAGTTTCCTCTGGCTCCGCTGCAGATATAGCAGCAGGTCACTGAGCTCCTCACAGCTGCCCTGGGCCACAGCCTCAAAGATCTTCCTGCGGTCATAGAGCTTGAGGGGTTTTTCGGAGTTGGTGGGAATGGAATCCTGAGACAGCTGCCTGTGAGGCCGCAGTGGAGACAGGAGGCAGAGAGAATGAGCGAGTTGAATGGAGTGGGAGGTGCCAGCCTCCTTCTCCTCCTCTTCGTGTCCCATCCCCCACCCCCACCCCCACCCTAGGTGAGCATGTCAGAGGCTCTTGCTTAGCGGTTGGCCCAGGTAGTTCTGAAGTCAACCCAACCAACCCAATGCTAAGACCTCACCCTTCAGAGCAGAAAAAAAAACCATATTAACTATTTTGTTATGTCCAGTTTAAATTAAAAAAAGCAAATGAGATCAGAATGGACGCTTTCTGCACTCCTCCACACTGGGAATCCCCTGCCCTGTGCATTTGGGGATGGAAGCCTGCCTGGAAGCAGGTGACTGGACCTGATGACCTCCTGAAGTTGTATCTGGCCTTCTGCACCTGCTGCATCTTAGCTCAGGTGTGTGTGTGTGTGTGTGTGTGTGTGTGTGTGTGTGTGTGTGTGCGCGCCCGCGCTGCAGAATGTACCACAAGCCTATGTGAGACCACCAGCCCGCAGGCCTCCGAGGTCAAGGTTAGTGGAACACTTCTGGGGCTCCACTGGAAGGACAGACACCAAGCCCTGAGGGGCTGTGGAGACCATAGGCTACTCTTTGGGGCCCCGGGGGCTGGGATGGAAACCTACCGGACAAACTGATCGTTACCCCGTGGCCTTTCCACCATGGGGCTGAACTTAATAATGGGGCAAGGGGCCGGCTCCCATTCCTGATAGGAGGGGTCCATCCCAGAAGACTCCTCAGAACTGCACCTGCCCAGGAGGCGGCTCCGGCTCTTGGGCTGCAGGGGCTGCGAGCCTGGGGCATTGTCGGGAGTGCCTGGGCAAGGCTCATTGGGATTTTCTGCCTCCTCTGGGCCTGACTTCTTCATCTTTGCCAGGGGTCACAAGTTAGGCTGCAGGAAACCCAAGAAGAAACTCCATTTCTATGTCCGGTCTTGCAGTGGTCATTCCCACCTCACCCCCACCCCCATCCTTGCTGTGGCTGGCATTCAGATCATATGTGAGGACTCCAGGGAATGTTATCCCCATTTTACAAATGAGGAAACTGAAGCTCAGAGATGACTTGACTTGCAGTCCCACCTGAGGCACGATTCCAATCAGTCCCTCCTGACTCTGAGTCCCTGTTCTTTGTTGTCCCCCCCCTCGGGCACCTTTTGAGCAGCTCAGAAGATTCAAGGCTGTCCTACCACAGGCCCTTCCCCTCCTGGCTCAGATCCTAATCAAACGCTGGTCAAGACCTCAGGCTGTGGGGCTGTGGACCGGGGGACAGGTCACCAGAGTCATCTAAAGACGCTCTCGCTGGACCTCAGCTGACCCTCGCCAGGGAATGATTTATGACCCCCTTGAGCCATCAGCTAGGAATTCCTGGTCTGGTTCTATGGGTTCCTGAAGTCCTTGCTGGTCCTTTGCCACGTTTGTTGACTCCTCTTGTAGAAGGGAAAGGGAAGACCAGAGACTGCAACTTCCCTGTTTCCTGGCTACCCTCCATAAAGCAGAAGGAGGAAAGGGGCCAGACAGCCTGGGCTTCATCCCCCACAGAGCCAGGCTCCTAAGCACCCTCCCTCCAATTGTCCTGTTCAGTCAGAGGCCGAACAAGCAGCAATGTGCTTACAGACTAGGCTTAGACTTGTCTAGACTTAGGCAGAGCTGGCACTCCAGACACCAACAATCTTCCGTCGCTTTGGGCAAGCCTTTGCCTTTCTTCACCTATGGAATGGATCCTGCGTTTAGCACAGTGCCTAGCACATAGTAGGTGCTTAATAAATGTTGACTGATTACTAGCAACGCTCTGGAGTTACTGGGAAGAATTTTGCCTCATTTCACTGCCTCTTTTGCATCTCAATCCATGAACAAACATCTGTTAAGCATTACTCTGTGCTGCGGCAGCTAGGTGGCGCAGTGGATAGAGCACAAGCCCTGGAGTCAGGAGTGCCTGAGTTCAAATCCGACCTCAGGCCAAACACTTGACATGTACTAGCTGTGTGACCCTGGGCAAGTCACTTAAGCCCAACTGCTAAAACAACAACAACAAACAAACAAACAAGCGTTACTCTGTGTCTGGCACAGCGCTAGACGCTGGGGAGACAAGGACAATCTGCGCTCTCAAGGAACTGACATTTATCAGAGGAAACAATGTAGTATACACAGAGAAGTCTAAACGTGGGGCATCGATTGAGGAAATTCAGTCAGTCTACTCTGCTTAGACTAAGTGACTTCAGACTAAGCGTGAACACTCTGAGGAACTGGGGTCATGCTAAACGTTAAGTGTGTTCCGATTGGCTGAGAAGACATAGTCTCTCTCTAGGGGTTCGCTATGCCAAAGTAGTTAGGAACTAGAGTTGTTCCAGAGCCTAGCTCAAGTGCCATGTTCTAGCCAGAGGAGGACTTGGAATCCTAAGATCTGAGATCGAACCCTGGTTCTGTCATTTCCTGACTGGGGGTGACCTTGGGCCTGTCACCCTGGGCCTCAGTGTCCTCATCAGTCAAATGAGGGGACTGGACTCCAGGCCTTCTCAAGTATCTTCCAGCTCTGGAGCTGGTATCCTCTGAACTATAATCCCAGGGGGCTTTTCTGTCCATCCATGCATTCATCCATCCTATAAGCATTCATTAAGCACCTGCTCTATGAAAGTCACTCTTCTAGGTGTAGGGATACAAAGAAATGAAACCACCTCTGCCCTCAAGTAATTTGTGTTCTACAGAGAAGCCACCCATATAATTTATAAAAAATAAAAAAGGAAATGACAAGTAATTTGAATGGGAGTGGGGTGGGGTGCAGTAGAGAGGGAAAGAGTGAGGCAGTAACCATCAGGGAGATGGGAAAGGCCTCTTGGAGGAGGCAGCCAAGCTGAGCCTTGAGGGAAGCTCAGAACTCTGGGGGCAGAGAACTTCAGAGACTGAGTTCCAAACCGAGGGCCAGCCAATGCAAAGGTGTGGAGGTGGGAAATGAGTATCCTGCATGGAGAACCAAGTTCTCAGACATACCCAGATGATCCCTTTGTTTCATCAGTTGGTGCTGGCTGCCAGCTAGAGAGGGGGAGATCTTCTATTCAAACTAAACACAAGCTGTGGCTTAGGCAGAGAACTAGGGATACCAGGCAAAGGGGCAGTGGTAGCCAGAGCCCCGGCTAGGAAGGAGGAAGCCAGGACTGCCGGTCCAGCTCTGCCCAGAACTCAGGCTAGATGCTCTGTCCCTCAAAGAAAGCATCACTGAGTTTCCGAGGTGGAAGGGGCCAAACTGTGTGACACTCCCAGAGGCTGGGAGGAGGCTTGGCCTTTGGCAGCACCTTGGGTATGAGTTTGGCATTTGGGGTTTTTTCCATCCACTGCCTCCCCTGAGGCACAAAAACCTTTCTCCAAAGCTCCTGAGCTTTAAAAGCAGGCCCTTCCCCACCCTGGCTGCCCTCCTCTGGACATTCTCCAGCGACCAATCTACAGCCTAGCTAAAATGTGGCCTTGGAACTGAGCGAGGCTGGCCACAGCACTAATGGTGTGGTCAGAGCCCAGCTGGGCCACCACCTCCCAACATGGACATCATGACCACATGCGCTTTTCATCTCTGGGCAGAATGTTTGCATGAGCTGTTCCAGCCACAAACCCTCTTCGCCTGAAGACCAACGGCCTAGCAATGACCAAACCTGGCCAGGCTAGGCCCATCCCGGAGGCCCGAGCTGGTGCAGAACTGGGAGGGCTTTCAGTGGGCAGTCAGCATGTAACAGCACCATCTCAGGGTCTGCAAACAGGCAGGTGCAGAGACATCCTGTGCCTCCTTCCTTCCTTCAAAGAATCCAAGTACTCTGGCAGATTTGCCCTGAGGCTGAACCCAGAAGACCAGGTGAATTTGAGGGAGCCACAGAGGAAGGCCCCGAGAAGGTGTCTGAAGTGTGGACCCTCAGCCACAGAGGGCTCCTTCAGCCCAGCTAGTATGGACTCTTGTCCAGGAGAGGAGGTCAGGGTTTAATGGGTGAGGTCTGCCTTGGAAATATTTTGATTAACAAAATTAAAGTATTCAAACCTTTGAACTAAAGAAAGATTTTTGGTATTTGAAGAAGTGAATGATGTAAAATGGATTGCTTCAAAAGATAATGAGTTCTCCATCTCTGAAGGTATGCAAGCAGAGACTTGTCAGGGTTCGTGTCCAGAACATTGCAAACGGCAGTTTCTGAGCTCCCCAATCCTCACTGAGCCTTCAGAGAGAGCTTTTGGGAGGGACTGAAGAGGCAGGAAGGAGAGGGGAGCAGCGCACACCAAAACTGCCTTTAGCTTTTGTCCCTAGGTCTGCCAATTTGGGGACAACAAGCCCTCAGACTCAGATGTGGGTCCTGGAAACAAACTCCTATTAATTGTGCTGTGCACAATGCAGCCTCTTAGGGCAATGCAGGGTCCAGAGCCCGGGGTTTGAGCGTCCTTTAGGTCCCCCCCCCCCCAGCACTTGCTGCCTTGTCTTGCCAGGCCAAAGCTCAGAGCCCCAGGAGAGGGGTTGGCCCAGGCGAGGGGCTCTGACCAGCTTTGATAAGTCCTCATTGGGAGTTCCCTAAATCAATGAAATTACAAGGTAGACCCAAACCAAAGCAAAAACAGAAGCATCATGGCGGGACCTAAACCTGGAACCTGAAGGAAGCTTACTGGTCATCTGATCCAATGCCCTCATTTTACAGAGGGAGAAACTGAGGCTTGAGGAGGTCATGATACCTGCCCAAAGTCTCACAGGTAGTTAGGGCAGAGTCAGATTCCCTCCCAGGTCCTGCACACTCATGGTAATCTGACCCTGGAAAAGCCTCCCCATCATGGCCCTGCACACCCCAGCTCCACCCCTCCCCAGGGGTCCTGACCTTCCCACTCAAAGACAGCTAGAGCAGCAAGCTAGCATGGGGGGGGGGGGTGGAGGCTGGCAGCGGGAGGGCCATGGCCTGCCGGGGCTCAGGGCTCCCTCCCTGTACCTCTCCAAAGTGTCATTCCACAGGACACCTGGAGCCCCAGGAAGTGAGGATTTAAGCCTCCCTGCGGCCATGAAAGGGCTTTTAACAGCCAGGACATTCTTGGCTACCCTCTAAAGCAGCAGGCAGTCATCCTCCAGGCCAGGCTCCTGCCCCAGTCAGGTCTTGGGGGCCAGAGCTTTTCTCCCAGATCGCTAACCAGCCTAGAAACAGCCTGACTAGGGCCTAGTGCTCTGCACAGCCCCACCTCTCGGAAAATCACCTACAAGAAGTGGCGGGGTGGGGGGCGGAGACCCTGGAGTCAGAGCAGAAGCCAGGCTAGGAGAGGGGAGGGAGCAGCCAGCACCTTGCCCATAGAATTTTAGCACCCGACATCGCCTGGTCGGACACTGAGACCCAGAGAGGGCAGGGCAGCCCTGGGTCGAAGAACTTGCATGCTGCAGGGCTGGGATTCGAAGCCAGATAGCTGACTCTAACCCGGTGCTGCCTGCCACCTGGTCTTGAACCCGGCCTCCCATGCCAGACAGTCTCACTTCCCCACGATCACCATTGCTGCACCTCTGACCTCTCTCCACCTTCTCAAAGGGGCTGCTGTGCTGGAGCACCCCTCCGCCCCCTCTCCTCCTCCTCTCACCTCTCTCTCCCCCTCTCCCTCTCCTCCTCCTTGAACAACGGGGTGGTCATCTGGCTTCTCAAGCCAGGCTTAGTGGAGACAGCATCGGGGTGTCTGTGGGTGCCCAAGTCTGGCACAGCTGAGGTGCTTGAGACCCAGCCAGGTTGCCTGGACAAGGGAAGAGCAGGAGCTGGCCTCCAGATGAGTACCACCTGTGGCTGCCGTGGCCACCCTGGGCCCTTAGGGCTTAGCCTTCCCTCAGAGGGCCTCAATATTTCTGGTCAGAGGGGCCCTGGATGCTGGCGTGCATTCCAAGAAG